ATGGAAAAACCTCCCAGATATACTCTCCACCCAAACTCCAAAGGGAAGCCGTTGATCCAGCTTGACTCTCACACAAAATCTAGCAAATTCCCTTTTCCCCCACTGAAACATATTTCCATCCATCATTATAGGTTTGCCAACCGATGAAGCAATCCTAGCCACATTAATTTCATCCCAACATTGCAAGGGTAAGTGAGGCATCCTAATCCAGATAGGGGAAGTTAGACCCTTCAAGGATAGAGTAGAAAACTCCACCGTCTACCACTTCATTCCCACTATATGGCCATTAACAAACCAAGGTCCCCTTGACAGAACACCTTCCATCATCTCTGTCGAATCAAAAGAACACAAAAACCAACCCTTGCCAAGAGTTGTAAAGTAAAAGTTCCCAAATTGATTCCATTGCCTTCTCACTTCCCATGCAACAATATGCGAAGGTATATCCTTCACAAACACCTTAATCACTAAGGAATTTCTCAACCTATTGGAATTCAAAATCTCAACATCTTCCCTCATTTTCACAGCTTTACCATCTTCCGAGAAAACCATATCCTCGTCTTTGAAATCCAACATTATGTAAGGCTTTTTCTTACACGGGCTTCCCTCCATCTCAATCACATTTCTAGTCGGCATTACCTTATTAACCTTGTCCACGACACCAGTCCCCTCTACTTCCAAACCACCAATGAAATGAATATTTGTGTTAACAGTGTTACATGAATTCGCATTTATCCCATGGACATGTCCAGAGATTGCATTTGAATTGCCAAACCTGTTAACAAAGATTTTCATTTCAGACGACAACGTCGACGGATCAAATAAATCATGTTCCAAAGATCTCTTAGCTGGCCTTGGGGTTACAATACCATCATCATCAGCAATAGCCTTACCTTTACCCTCAACATACAAAACCTTCTTCGGGACCTCCATGATGTTGTCTTTGATCAACAATGGACCATTTGAATTCCTGTTAACAAAATCCGCTTTATTCATTTTTGAAACAGCTTTCAGGCGATTATCTCCACCCAGATTTTGATTCAGTATGCCTTTATCTATATTACCCCTTATCGCCGTAGTCGAAGATGGCCGGAGGCCATCCACCACCATCTCCCTCTTAATTCCTAAACGGAAGGAAAACAAACCGGAACAAAAATTCAATTTTTTGAACCTTTCTCTCTCTAGAAAAAATGGGAGTCTCTCATTGACTATTGTTAGGTTTATATGTTATAGAATTAGCTATATAAATTTCTATATAGGGATTACAAAAAAAAGAGAAAATTGTTATGTAGTCTAGTTATAATAACAATAAAGTCCATACTGAGCTCTTAAGAAGTCAATGATTTATTGTTGAATAATAAGATAGTCGATCAATAGTTTCTCATACTAAGCGGACCCCTTTATTATTCATTAGGACCAGCTTCATAGATTGTAATGGCTAGGGAGGATTGATAGGCTGAAGTTGGCTTACTAAATGAGTTCTTATTTTCTAGTCATCTATTTAATGCATATTTATTTGTATACCAACGAGTCCATCTTAAATTGTATCTAAGTAGATCAAATTAGCCTGGCCTAAATTGGGTTGGCTTGAAAAAGAAAACTTTAGAAACCATTTTCCTCCCATGGGATTTGGAGTTGAAGTAGATTGAGGTAGATTAAAGGTACGTGTGGCATTCGATCTTTCATTTTCTTATGGGTTCCAAAAGTTCACGCCCCAACGTCTATGCGGACCCTCATTTTTTTTTTTTTTTGTCATCAAGGAAAGTTTTAGAAAGTATGTTATGGGGAAAATTTTTAGAAAGTAGATTGAATAAAATAAGAGACTATCTAGAGATTTTGCTCTATTTTTATAAGGACTTTATGATATGAGTTTTAGTTTCATATATGTGCAAGCCCCTATAGTTAATTATCACTCCTAATAATGAGAGAGAACTTTAAATAAAGGCTAGTCGTCAAATAGATACAGAGTATTTCACATATAGTAGTAGGATGGATTAAGTTCTTAAAAATTCTAATAATTAAAATTAAAAATTGACCACCATGCACTTAAAAAGGATTGTGGGAGGATGTTGATGGACTCGGTCAAGATCTCATGGTTTTGTCATCCCAGGTCATCATGATTCTTGATCTACTTAGTCATGGGATATAGTCGACCCAACTTCACAAAAAGATCCTTGTGGGCAGCCATGCGTTGTTTCATCTAAAGGGAACTTGTAGACCTAGGAGGAATATTTGTCTTTGGATACAAATTTAAATCCACCTTAACTAACAAAGAGTTTTATGCCTTATTGAGTATATCTTGTTGATTTATATATCAAGGAATTTAAATCAATTGGAGAACATGCAGGCATTAAACATGACCATAATTTAGTGGTGCCATTTAGCAGTAGAATCACCCAATTCAGAGGGTCTCGATCATAACTATTTACCTATAGATCCATTTTGTAGCGAAACCATCGGTTAAAGGACACGTACAACATCCTTACTAGTAATAAAATGTTCGAGAATAAATCCTAGTGTTATTCTTGACTAGCCATTGACTCTATGTGAGCTGAAGTAATTTTTAGTTTCATCCACCTCGACAAAATATTGAGAAGGCTGGATGGGTTTTTGTTTAATTATTTAATAATTTATTTTAATAATAAATATTTTAACATTATGATATTTTTAAAATTTAAATTTTTAGGGGCATTTGGGAAATTTAGAAGAAATTTTTAAATATTTGAGGACACCTCGAGTTGAGATTTTATATCAACGTATCCATCTTCCAGGCATATATGATCATTTTTTAATTTTAATGGTTGAACCTTATCAACTATGTCATCTTGCTAATAGAAGATCGGGTTCGTTGTCGGCTTTATGCTTTTTTGAGTGAGACTTTCTTTATTATAGACTTTCAAGGCCGAATATGAACATATTAAAATAAATATTTTGTTCGACATCGTGACCGCATATTTGTTCGATAATTTATGTTTTGTTGACTCCTATCCATTCATGTAGAAGAGTCGAGCTCGATATTGGATTCATTTCTTGACTCGCTCAACAACCTCAATTGTTACATGTGTATCCATAATGCTCTAGCTGAGGCCCATATGAGTTTATATTTTTGTATGTATTTTATATAATATATTCTTGAAGTAGATACTTACATGTAGTGAAAAATGCATAGATGACATATGCCTATTGATTACTATCATTGTTTCACATATGGTGAATCTTTTATCATTGCATAATATTTTACATATTGCTGGTGAAGTGGCATTTACAGTTGTTGACTTCATTTTTGTATGTGGTCACTAGGACTTTTCCAGGACACCAGATCAATCCTGAGCCAAGATCAGTCTAGCCCCCAAATCAATCCAGACCCTAGCATTCTTCTACATCAATCTAAATATTAGAACTTATCTAAATCCTAAGATTTTTCCAGACCAATGCAAACCTTAGGATCTATCTAGATCGTAGGACTCTTCTAAACCTATCTAGACCCTAGGACCTATCCAAACCCTATATTAACCTAGACACTATGATCTATCCAGACCCTAGGACCAGTCTAGACCCATACCATAGGATCTATCCTTTCTCAAAGTCACCTGAGTTTTAAGATTAGAAATTCAGGCTTTTTATTAGTGGAACCCGGCCACTTTATTTTTCTATAGACCCTCGTTTACAATATTAAAAGGCACTTGCCTATGAACATTTTATTCATTTAATTAATTTAGTATTCAATTGATTATTTTATGTTGATTGTGATATAGGATTGTATGTTTTTAGTAGTTTTATGACGATCTTGCATGCTAATTTTGATTTAGCCTGAACTCGATCAGAGGCTCATGAGGGATTGTTAAAATTTTTCTACTTTAATAAAATTTAAAATATATAAGCTAATATAACAACTCTAATAATTTTAAGAAGTAAGCTCGGGACCGCTGAGAATTCAGATAGTATGCCATTGCATATTCTTTTCATTGTTAGGCATCTCCTTACCTGTTGGTTTTGGCAGACCACCTAGCCTACGAGGGTGTAGATCTATCAAGGGAAATATATACAATCCCTAGGATAAATCTATTTTTAAAACTTTTTAAAACTACTTCATTTTAATTTTAAGTATTTATTGAGTTAACTAGCATGAAATACATTAAAAACAAATTAAATTGAGTTAAAAATTTAATTACATTATACTTCAAATTTCATATTACCCAAAATACGTCAAGGGGTCAAATAAGGACTTGCTCCAAATGTTAGCCTAGCTTTCCTCAAACATAACTTAATAAAATATCTCTATCGCTCTTTTATAAAATATTGAATATATTGTTTTGAAGTGCTTAGATGGTTTAGCTGGCTCCCTAATCCAAGCTAGGATAAGTCTAGATTCTGTATAGTATTAGTTAGGTTTAGGCCAATGATTTTTAGTACCAAATTTAAACCTAGGTTCTAAGGCAGACATAGGTTATAAGACCTTAACCTCTTGGAATATAATCCTAACCTTTTAGTGAAATTGACCAGCCAATCTTAAATCTCTATCAATCGAATTCAAGCCTAAAATTAGGATAAATTGGGTCACTTCTGAATTATTTTAGAATCCCAGGTGTCTCCTACCCTTCCTCCTTTAATTATACAAATAAGTGTTCAAATTCTATCCAGTACCGATTGAAAATTCCAATCCTTACCTCCTTTGACATTAAGCTTTAAAATCTTAAATAAAATTTCTATAACTATTTTAATCAAGAGTATTGACAGAAAATTATAGTTTCCATATGATATGTGAGCAGCAGTTTGAAGGAATAATCTAAGCATATTTAAAAAGAACTAAAAAGTAGGTTTTAAAAATCACCGGCGGACGTTCCGGCGGAGTATCTAATGGAAATAAGATCAGTCATAACGTGCGACGGAAATAAGTGGTTAAGTTTAAATAAGTCGGCGGAAGTTTCGTCGGTAATGTTCGCCAGTATGTTTCCGCCGCAACATGCGACGGAATCGGTTCAGAGCTCGTTTAACCAATGCCATTACCGTCGCATGGCGACGCCGGATAATTTCTGTCGTATTATGCGCCGGCAAATGCGTCGTAATTTTTTCGTCGCAAGATTCATGAGCATTCTTCCGTAATTTTTTCGTTCCAGTGCAAAAAATTTCGCTGAAAAATCCGACGGTAATCGCGTGTTTTCCCGTAGTGTATTCAAACAATTAAGAATGACATTAAGATCTTTGACCTTAGCTCTAAGCACCAATAATTTGTCTTCATTCAACCATCCATTTCTAGCTTCTTCCTCTTGGATTTGAAAAATTTTAGCCTTCAATCTATCTTTCACCTTTGAGAATTCTTTCAATCTCACCTCGCTCAAGTAAAACAAGTCCTTCAAAGTCCTTTGCATTTTTTTGTTAAGAACTTCCATGTCATCCCCCATAAAAACCTTCTTCCACCTATTAGAAACAATATGGGTTGCTATCTTATAAGATAACCAAGCATCTTCAAATTTAATACATCTTCTCCCTCTTGAAACCGACTCATAGATCTTCAACACAATAGGACTATGGTCTGAAGCCACTCTGTCTAAGTGTCTTACCACAGCAATTTGAATTTCGTTAATGGACAATGAGTTGAGAATACACCTATCCAATCTTTCTAGAATCCGTCCCCCTCCAACCTTATTATTGCACCACGTGTACCTAGGACCAAAATTCCCAACATCATGATAGTCATTATCATTCATAAACTTCATCATATCCAAAGATCCTTGTGAGAAAACAAACTTTCTTCCACCCTTCTTATCTTACTAAGCCAAAATACAATTGAAATCCCCTCGAACAATAGACGAAATTTTCCTCTCAGAATAATCCTGAACACAATCCCATAGCCCACTTCTCTTATGAGCCTCCTTGCTAGCATAAACCGTAGTAATCATCCTGACACCTTTATTGAAGACATTAAGATCCCAAATAAAACATTGGTCTGATGTCTTCACCATAGAAAAGGTTGCCATATCCAACCTCCATAAAATCATAATACCACCAGAGAGCCCTTCTGAAGGTAGTAGGAAGAAATCCCACCCTTGACCCATCATTATTTCAGAAGAACCTCTATCAAGAGAGGTGATCTTAGTTTCTACCAGTCCCACAAAAAAAAATCGTGTTATCTTTTATAATTTCCTTCATATAAAGAGAGGCCTCTCTCTTCTTGGCCCCTCTACAATTCCAGAAGGCTATGGATTCCATTAAAAATTTTTTGGGGAAGAGCCCCCACCTCATTTCTGATTTAATCCATCAAACATTCTTCTACGGGAATTGTTCTTAATAGGACCTAAGGCTCTAAGCTCTTTTGCAAGTTTACATTTACTCAATTCCCCATTAGACCCAATCTCCTTGTCCTTCTCCACACCACCCAATCTCCCCTCACTGCCTTTAATTCTCCCACCTCTATTAAAATTTCCACCAACATAAGGCACTTTTCCATCACAATTATTATCAACACCAACAAAGCTTGTATTACTCACTTCAGCTCCTTCTCTTTCCACCTCCTCCCCCTTCAAAACATCAAACTTGTTTACATTTACAAAAATAAAAGATTTATTACAAGTAAACTTACCATTAACCATAACTCTAGTCTCTGCATTATCATTGTTCTTCACAGCTGCATCTCCAATAGCAACAAGCTGCAACCCGTGAATAGGCACATCCTGTACCACTGCTATTTCCCCCTCTTCCTGTTGTTTACCTTCAGCATTTGAAACCAACTCCTCCACAGCATCAACATTTGAATAGCAATTTCCACTTCAGCATTCTCCCCATGAGCTTCCTTGGTTTTCTTCAACTATTTTTTAACGACCTTCAGATTTTTCTTCAGCATATTAGGTCTTCTACTATTACTCCTTTTAACCATGATCCATGGTCCATAGGTGGAATCAGTGTCCACCTCTTGAACTTTTCCCACCTCCTTTACTTGCCTTGACTTCCCATCATCAACAATCCTCTCCATAGCTCCATTTTTCCTTACTTTGCAATCACTTTTTGCATGTCCTATCAATCCACACTCATAACAAAATGTGGAGATATTCTCATATTCAAACCTTTAAAAAAACCTCCCAGATATACTCTCGACCCAAAATCCTAAGGGAAGCCGTTGAAGCAGCTTGACTTTCACACAAACTCTAGCAAATTCCCTTTTCCACCACTGAAACATATTTCCATCTATCATTATAGGTTTTCCAACCGATGAAGCAATCCTAGCCACACTAACTTCATCCCAACATTGCAAGGGTAAGAGAGGCATCCTAATCCAGATAGGGGAAGTTAGACCCTTCAAGGATAGAGTAGAAAACTCCACCGTCTACCTCTGCATTCCCACTATATGGCCATTAACAAACCAAGGTCCCTGACAGAACACCTTCCATCATCTCTGTCGAATCAAAAGAACACAAAAACCAATCCTTGCCAAGAGTTGTAAAGTGAAAGTTCCCAAACTGTTTCCCTTGCCTTATCACTTCCCATGCAATGCGAAGGTATAACCTTCCCAAACACCTTAATCACTAAGGAATTTCTCAACATATTGGAATTCAAAATATCAACTACTTCCCCCATTTTCACAGCCTTATCATCTTTCGAGAAAACCATATCCTCATCCTTGAATTCCAACATGATGTAAGGCTTTTTCTTCCATGGGTTTCCCTCCATCTCAATCACATTTCTAGTCGGCATTACCTTATTAACCTTGTCCATGACACCAGTCCCCTCTGCTTTTGAACCACCAATGAAATGAAGATTTGTGTTAACAGTGTTACAGTAATTTGCATTTATCCCATGGACATGTCCAGAGATTGCATTTGAATTGCCAAACCTATTAACAAATATTTTCATTTCAGACGAAGATGCCGACGGATCAAATAAATCCTATTTCGAAGATCTCTTAGCTACCCATGGGGTTACAATACCATCATCATCATCAATAGCCTTACCTTTACCCTCAACATACATAACCTTCTTCGGGACCTCCATGATGTTGTCTTTGATCAACAATGGACCATTAGAATTCATGTTAACAAAATTCGCTTTATTCATTTTGAAAAAGCTTTCAGGCGATTATCTCCACCTATATTTTGATTCAGTAAGCCTTTATCCATATCGCCCCTTGCCGCCATAGCCGAAGATGGCCGGAGGCCATCCACCACCATCTCCCTGTTAATTCCTAAACAGAAGGAATAATAATTGGGAACAAAATTCAAATTTTTGAACCTTTCTCTCTCTAGAAAAAATGGGAGTCTCTCATTGACAATTGTTAGGTTTAGATGTTATAGAATTAACTACATAAATTTCTATATATGGATTACCAAAAAAAGAGAGAATTGTTATGTATTCTTGTTATAATAACAATAAAGTAGACAGTGAGCTCTTAAGAAGTCAATGATTGATTGTTGAATAATAGGATACTCGATCAATAGTTTCTCATACTAAGTCGGACCCTTCATTATTCACTAGGAACAGCTTCATAGATTGTAATTGCTAGGTCAGATTGATAGGCTGAAGTTGCCTTACTAGAATAAGTTCTTATTTCCTAGTCATCTATTTAATGCAGATTCATTTGCATACCAACGAGTCCCACTTAAACTGTGTCTAAGTAGATCAAATTAGCCTTGCCTGAATTGGGTTGGCTTGAAAAAGAAAACTTTAGAAACCATTTTCCTCCTATGGGATTTGGAGTTAAAGTTGATTGAGGTAGATTAAAGGTACGTGTGGCTTTCGATTTATCATTTTCTTATGGGTTCCAAAAGTTCATGCCCCAACGTCTATGCGGACCCTCATTTCTTTTTTTTTTTTTGGTCATCAAGAAAAGTTTTAGCAAGAATGTTATGGGGCCAAGCTTTATAAAGTAGATTGAATTAAATAAGACACTATATAGAGATTTTGCGCTATTTTTATAAGGTCTTTATGATATGAGTTTTAGTTTCATATAAGTGCAGGCCCCTATAGTTAATTACCACTCCTAATAATGAGAGAGAACTTTAAATAAAGGCTAGACATCAAATAGATATAGAGTATTTCACATATAGTAGTAGCATGGATTAAGTTTTTAAAAAATATAATATTTAAAATTAAAAATTGATCACCATGTACTTAAAGCGGATTGTGGGAGGATGTTGATGGACTTGATCAAGATATCATGGTTTTGTCATCCTAGGTCATCATGACTCTTGATCTGCTTAGTCATAGGATATAGTCGACCCAACTTCACAAAAAGATCCTTGTGGGCAGCCAAGCGTTGTTTCATCTAAAGGGAACTTATAGACCTAGGAGGAATATTTGTCTTTGGAGACAAATTTAACTAACAAAGAGTTTTATGCCTTATCGATTATATCCTATTGAGTTATATATCAAGGAATTTAAATCAATTAGGGAACATGTAAGCATTAAACATGACCGTAATTTAGTGGTGCCATTTAGCGGTAGAATCACCCAATTCAGAGGCTCCCGATCATAACTATTTACCTATAGAGTCATTTTGTAGTGAAACCATCGGTTAAAGGACACGTGCTACATCCTTACTAGTAAGAAAATGTTCGAGAATAAATCCTAGTGTTATTCTTGACTAGACATTGACTCTTTGTGAGCTGAAGTAATTTTTAGTTTTATCCACCTCGACAAACTATTGAGAAGGCTGGATGGGTTTTTATTTAAGTATTTAATAATTTATTTCAATAATAAATATTTTAACATTATGATATTTTTAAATTTTAAATTTTTAGGGGCATTTAGGAAATTTAGAAGAAGTTTTTAAATATTTGAGGACACCTCCAGTTAAAATTTTATATCAACGTATCCATATTCCAGGCATATATGATCATTTTTTAATTTTAATGGTTGAACCTTATCGACTATGTCATCTTGCTAATAGAAGATCTGGTTCGTTGTTGGCTTTATGTTTTTTTGAGTGAGACTTTCTTTGTTATAGACTTTCAAGGATGAATATGAACATATTAAAATAAATATTTTGTTCGACATCGTGACCGCATATTTGTTCGATAATTTGTGTTTTGTTGACTCCTATACATTCATGTAGAAGGATCGAGCTTGATATTGGATTCATTTCTAGACTCGCTTCACAACCACAATTGTTACATGTGTATCCATAACACTCTAGCCGAGGCCCGTATGAGTTTATATTTTTGTATGTATTTTATATAATATATTCTTGAAGTAGATACTTACATATAGTGAAAAATGCATAGATGACATATGCCTATTGATTACTATCATTGTTTAACATATGGTGAATCTTTTATCATTGCATAATATTTTACATATTGCTGGTGAAGAGGCATTTATAGTTGTTGACCTCATTTTTGTATGTGGTAACTAGGACTTTTCCAGGAGACCAGATCAATCCTGACCCATGATCAGTCTAGCCCCCAAATCAATCTAGACCCTAACATTCTTCCATATCAATCTAAATATTATGACCTATATAGATCCTAAGATTTTTCCAGACCAATCCAAACCTTAGGATCTATCTAGATTGTAGGACTCTTCTAGACCTATCTAGACCATAGGATCTATCTAGACCCTAGGACCTATCCAAACCCTATATTAAGCTAGACACTATGATCTATCCAGACCCTAGGACAAGTCTAAACCATAGATCAACCTAGACCATAGGATCTATCCATTCTCAAAGTCACTTGAGTTTTAAGATTAGAAATTTAGGCTTATTATTAGTGGAACCCGACCACTT